CATAGGTTTCTGACACAGAAAGATTGTGGTCAAAGAACTGACAAGTTTGAAATTGGTCTTTTACCTATTATTTAAGTAATGACTGTAATATTTTTTCTGTCTACGAAGAAATAACATCAAAAATGTGGTGCACACTGAATAACCCGCGTAGCGGGTTATTTTAAAGTGTGCACCACATTTTTTATGTTATTTCGAATAGACAGAAAAAATATTACAGTCATTTCTTATAATTTAATTCTAAATTCCATTTTAAACCGTAGTAAACCATGAAAAAACGTTGATGACGTCATGGTCACATGACTAAATTATGTCTATGAGCTGATAAACAAAACAACATCAGTCAATCAGAAGACACGTTACATCCAAAATTAAATTATTGTCTTATATCCAAAATCTAAAAATACGGTTAGATTCAGCATATCCAAATACATCCATGATTTAATGATTTAATTTATTTGTATATTGATGGACAAAATTAGCTAAGTTTTTTAAGGGGTTCCCTTCATAATTTTTTTTTATATATAGCATTTTGCAAATCAATTATATAGAATAACAAACCTACCACAAATTTCTTCAAAAAAATTTCCAAAAAAATAAATGAAAAAAACAATTTTCAAAATATCATTCATCATTAATAGAATGTCTTTAAAAACTCTATAAAACTTACCTTTATTTTTCAAAATATATAAAAATGAACAGTAAATTTCAAACTATATTAATACATAATTTCTAAAATTAGAATATGATGCTGTATCTATTTTTAACTATGAATCTACTATCAATTTCTATTGATTGTGCAATACATCTCTGAATTTGGACTGTGATTAAATATTTGACTTAACATACTCCATAGGTTTCTAACACAGAATGAATGTGGTATTCAAACATAAAAAAATTAAAATTGGACATATACCTATAATGGTTCATGCAATATCCAAAATCTAAATACATGGTTAGGTTTAGCATATCAAAGAACCCCAGAATTCAATTTTTGATAAAATCAAGCTGTTTAATTTTGGACCTTTTGGACCTCAATGTGGACCAATTTGATAATGGGGCCCAAAATCTAAAATCTAAATACATAGTTAGATTCTACATATCAAAGAACCCCATATATTCCTTTTTCTGCTAAAATCAAACTAAGTTTAATTTTGGACACTTTGGACCTATTTGTGGACCAATTTGAAAACCTGGCCTAAAATAAAAATCTAAATACATGGTGAGATTCAGCATATCAAAGAACCCCAAGAATTTAATTTTTGTTGAAACAAAAAAATTAAAAGTTAAAATTTGGACCCTTCAGACCTCAATGTTGACCAAATTAATAATGGGGCCCACAATCAAAAATATAAAAAAACATGATTAGATTCAGCATATGTAAGAACCCCTAAAAATCCAGACTTTGAATTACCCCATTGAAATTGGTCTAGAAATAAGCAATTTATACAAAGTATTAGGAAAGTATTGTTTTTTCCCCTCTTTCCCAAACATTCAGGGCCATAACCCCCCAAAATCAATCCCAACCTTCCTTTTTTGTATGGAACCTTGTGGTACAATTTCATAGAGATCTATAGACTTATACTCAAGTTATTGTGGGAAATCAGTTTGGCCCCTAATTCCTAAATGACCCCCAAAATCAATCCCAACCTTCCTTTTGAGGAATAGAACCTTGTGGTAAAATTTCATAGAGATCCATACACTTATACACAAGTTATTGTCCTGAAACAAGAAAAATGTTTGTTTTTGACCCCTAATTCCTAAACAGCTAGAACAACTACCCTCAAATTTAATTCCAACCTGCCTGTTGTGATATGGAACCTTGTACTACAATTTCATAGAGATGATCTCAGATCCATACACTTTTACTCAAGTTATTGTCTGGAAATCAAATGTCTTAGAACGACAACGACACTTACAACACCATAACATTATACAAACTAAAAAATTTGGGGTAGGATAAAAAACCTAGACTGAGCTACATGAACTCTACTCAAAACTGGGGGTTATCTCTGGTATTCCAGAAGGTTGAGCAGATTCTGCTCCATTAGTGGTAACTGTAGGGTTAGCAATGGTAAGACAAGAGTGCACACTCTGGATTGTCTCGCCTGCTCATCTGTAATATGAATGTTTTAATACAAGTATTCCATACACTCAACATTATAAATGATCCATGAAAAATGAGGTCAAGATCATACTAATCATACCAGTTAGACAGGTTCACCTTACGTGACAATCATTCCATACACCAAATGTAGTTCACCTATTACTAGTACATAATAGTATCTGATAAACTGACAATACCATGAAAACTTAACATTGAACAAAATAAGGACATGGTCATATGAAACCTACCAGACAGACATGCACACATTACAATCATTCCATACATCAACTATAGTGGCCCTATTGCATATAGTATCTGAGAAATAGACCAAACCACAAAAACTAAACATTGTCCAATGAACCATGAAAATGAGGTGAAGGTCAGATGAAACCCTATCTGTCAAACATGTATAACTTACAATCATTCCATACATCAAATATAGTTGACCTTTTGCTTTTAATAAGTATCTGATGTATGGAATTGACCACGAAAACTGATCTATTAAATGAGGTTGAGGTCAGATGAACCCTGTCTGATGAACATGTAGACTTTGCAAGGATCCCATATATCAAAAATAGTTATCCTATTACATGAACTTATGATAATCGAGTATTTCAAATGACAAAAAAAATATAGATTTATTTCAAGCAGTTGCTGTACCATGAAAATAAGGTTAAGGACAAAGAACATTTGACAGACAGAAACTTTATAACATAAGGTATAAAGCTTTATAAAAGTAGTCTTTGTTGGCAGATTGTTATCCTATGTCTTGGATTTTGCGACGAAAGTAGCTTATGAGACAAAAAACTATGTGATACGCCACATTCATTTATATCATAATTGAGGAAGAGGACAGGGTTGTGGCTTCAACAATGTGAACAGATCTCATCTCTGGTAATCTGTGACACATATATACAATAACTGTCATCCAAAATATGATAGTGCCTGTAAAACTTTCGAATGGATAACTTCAACTTTCAAACAATATGCCCAACTCAGAAAACATAATACAGGTATAACTTGCATAAAATTTATCTTATTTGTATGTAATTCTTGTAGCCAAGGTTACACTATAATAGAACCAGTGAAGCATTTAAGAAAATATTTTTCCTGCATCCGAACACATTTACACACATTATCTTATAAAAAAATTTGCTACAATGCCATATATAACAAAACCCCAATGAAGATTCCATCTGGAATTGTGATATCAACATCTGAATTGGTAATTATCAACTAAATTAATGCAGGAACTATTTTTAGAGGCAGTGTACAGTTTTCCTCCAGAAAATTACCCTTTACAAATCTACTATAAAACTGATGAATGTTGATGGATGAATATAGTTTGGCTGCAAATATTACATGCATATATATTACATGCTTCGGTGTGAGCCAAGGCTCTGTGTTGAAGGCCGTACTTTGACCTATAATTGTTTACTTTTTACACATTGTGACTTGGATGGAGAGTTGTCTCATTGGCACTCATACCACATCTTCTTATCTATATATGTAACACTCAGAAACGTGTCCATCCCCAATACATGTCAGATTCATCCAAACGTGTCCACTGACGTCACTGAACTGCAAAACATATTCTAGGTGCTAAAGGGCCCCAAAACATTTCCTTTTTAAGAACGCCCAATCGTGTCCTTTGTTTAAGAATGCCCACACGTATCTAAGTGTGACTGGAGAATAGAAATTAGGCCTATCTAATTGAACTTTGGTTGATAGTTGTCTCATTGACAATCATACTACATCTCCTTATTTTTATATCACTTAGGTCTTCTTCCGACCGATAGTAAAGCTCTTGCCAAAGTGGGGCGTCCGTTTGGCTGTGCAGAGATTTTTTCCCACGTGGTCGGTAAAAGTATGTAGCCACATCCGGTCAGAATGGGAATGTTAAATACAAAACCTCGTGTAAGGAGAATGCCTTTATTATAGACCTGCATGAACCTATTGTATTTATTGTTAATATGTTCTCGTCTTGAATATGCATGACAAATTTGCCACTGGACTTTAAGCAACAAACAATCAATCAATTTATTGTCTTAAATATGCATGAAAGAATTGCCACAAAACGTTAAGCAAGAAATAATCAGTTAATCCATAATTTTCTGTTAGTCGATTATTACCTCTTTCACAACTGACTTAACGTAATGTGACAGTTAAAAAGAAGATGCACATTTAAATAACTTGCATTCACATCATGGAATCTAGGCATACAGTTTTTAACACCTTTTAGGTAATTAATGATTATGAATCAGGGGTGCTAATGATAAATGCATTTTTTTTCATCTTGTTCATGTCTCTTTAGTGATGCTCAAACCCAAAATATTTTAAAACTAAAAACTTAATACCAGTACACACTTTGAAGAGCTGATAAAAAATCTGTGCAATAGCAATGGTAATTAGACATCGCCGGAATATATAAATACATAAGAATTCACTTAGTAAACGATAAATTTAACTGTACAAAACTAATTAATTGCAATTTTTATGTTCGGACATGTTTAGGTGATTTGGGATTTTAAGGACACGTTTGGGTGAAATAGACACATATGAGGAGATAGACACATTTGAGAGTATTACATATATATTGATGTTTTATGAATATACCCTGCAGTGTTATTGAATAAGAATTCAGCATTTAGTCACAGAGTAAAATTTTAAAATGCTAGCTCACAATGTAGCAGTTGTCAGTAGACCACCTGCACTCAAAATGCTATGATTAGGACATTGAAGTTGGTTTCATAGTGATGGAGATAAGGGCAAATGTAATGTTGTATTACACATTGTTGAACACTGAAATGGAAATTTCTTGGGGGGGGGGGGGGTCTTTCTGCTATTGTTTTCTTTTTGTTCATATATCTGTGTCATCTTATCATTGAACAAAAACTAACATAGCTGCATTTTTATTTCTTTAAAAATATATCTACAATATTCAAAATATATAAATATATAAAATATTGAGTTAAATGCACATTTTAATTAAAGGCTCACTTAAGTAATTTAGCCGACACAAGAATATTGAACAACTAAATTGTTCATACAAGTGAGAAGTTTAGCTAGCTATAAAACCAGGTTTATCCACCATTTTCTACATAAGGAAATACCTGTACCAAGTCAGGAATATGACAGTTGTTTTCAATTCGTTAGATGTGCTTGAGTCCTAAGTCAGGAATCTGATTACAGTAGTTGTTGTCTGTTTATGTAGTTCATACGTGTTTCTCGTTTCTCGTTTTTATATAGATTAGACCGTTGGTTTTTCCGTTTGAATGGTTTTACACTAGTAATTTTTTGGGGCCCTTTATAGCTTGCTGTTCGGTGTGAGCCAATGCTCCGTGTTGAAGGCCGTACCTTGACCTATAATGGTTTACTTTTATAAATTGTAACTTGGATGGAGAGTTGTCTCATTGGCACTCATACCACATCTTCCTATATCTATTGAGCTTTTGATTTTGCCATTTTATAAAGGACTTTCCGTTTTGAATTTCCCTTGGAGTTCGATATTTTTGTTATTTTACTTTTTGATGAACCAGGCACTAATAGTCATCATGATAATATCTTAAAACTAATAAACTGTGTAGTATTTAATTAGATAAAAATCTAGAATTATATGTTATTTCTTACCTCACCACACCAAAAGGAGGAATTGGTTTTTAAAGTTATTCCATGTACTAGCATGTGCCTAAGCAAACAAAACCATGATAATTGAATAGTAGATATAACAATAGTTAAAAAAAATAGAGTTCAGAGGATAAAAAATTCCAAGAAGACAAATGACATATTTTGATAGGGACATAACAGGTTAAAATTTTATGACAAACCTCACTAAGCCCAGGGATTTTTAATGCTGATATCTCACTAGTCAAGCAGGTATAAGTTCTAACCGAAGTTTTCACAGTGATATAGCACGTCAGAGTTTTGCTGACTCCTTAGGAATGTTTTTTTCTTTTTTTACAAAACTGGTACCGAATATAGGCAGACTGTTGAAGACCCATTGGTGGCCTTGGGCTGTTTTCTGCTCTTTGGACAGGTTGTTGTCTATTTGACACATTCCCCATTTCCGTTCTCAATTTAGTAATGTTTAAAGTACAATGCATGAAAATCCTGATGAGGAATAAACAATTTTTCAATGTGAATTTCCCCATAGAAGATATAATGAATTATTTATAAAATTGAATACAACAATTCTAATTAGTTACTACCATAATAATAGCTATACTTTTCAGAGGGAAGCTATTTAAGTTTCTTATTAAACAAAAATGACTAGACAACTTTTTTTTTCTTTTTGCTAACCTGTCAAACTTTTTGAAAGACAAAGATAATAAGTCTGGTTATCAGAAACAATAGCCCTGTGCATCAGTCTGGTGTTATTTTTTAATTCCTGGGACATACAGAAAATAACCTTTTCTCTGCCATGACTGGAGATTTTGAGTAGGACTTCGTTGTATAAGGCTTTAATTTATAATAGATCATGATTTCCAGATTATCCATTTTTACTATATTTGCAGTTTATTGTCAAAATTATTTCACTATTACATAATTCTTTAGAAAATTTGTTAAACCTACTTCCATTTCCACAATTTGTCATTGTTCTGAATATACAGTACTCATGTCACAACCTTTTACGGATTTGCTGCAGTTTTGATATAAATATATTTGCAGGACAAGCATAGGGGGCAACAAATTTTTCCCAAATGACCTGTAAATTTGGCTTTTATGATAAAATACAAATAAAAGAAACGTAATTTTCTTAAATGTTCACCTCTTCAGATAAATATCATGAACTTTGATAAAATTGGGTCACAAAGGTCTCTTTTCATGTCCTTGCCAGCCTGGTCCATTCGTTAACTCTAAAGATGTATGAAATATCAGGAACTTAATAATACAAAGCACCAAGCATTGACAAAAATAATGAAGGCATATATGAGATGACAATAAAAGTGATAAAAAGTTCTTAAAAAGCCATTTTCTTTTTCTTCTTTGCTTTCTCTTGCTTCTTTGCCTCATCTGATTCAAGTCTTCTTTCTAATGCTTGTCTCCTCATGAGCTCTGTATCCTGAAAAAAAAAATGTTTGAGTTACTAAACATGTGAACAACAACATCATGATGGAGAATTTGTTTTTGGAATAAAGCTTCAACATTTAATTCTGTACCTTAAATTATATTCATTTGTAAACAAGCATTCTGAGAGTATTGCATGGCATACATAGTCCCCTACTGGTTAAAACTATTGCACTGGAACAAAATGCTAACTTGATCTATAATTTGTCATTGTGTAAACTATATAAGAAATATTAAAGTCAATATCTTCAAGCATGACGACAAAAAAAGTGTGGAAAACTGATTATTTGAGTGAAGGACCATAACTCTGCACAAAATCATCAGACCAGAACAAAATATGAACTTGATCTGTAACTTGTCATGATTAAACAATATACCAAATATCAGATCAATATCTTCAAGCATGAAGAAAAAAAGTGTGGAAAACTGATTTGCAGGACTGACGGATGGACAGACAGACAGACGGACATAGTGCAAACCTCAAGTCCCCTTCGACTTTGTCAGTAAGGAACTAATAAATACACAGGAAAAATTATTCCATTTTCTTTACAACAAAGATCATATACGTATTAACCAATTGTTAATCATGTGGTCCATTCCATTTTAAAAATTGTTTCAAAAACTTAAAAAAAAAAAAAAAAAGATACACTGTAAGCTCTCCCCTCAATGTTGTTGATTCTATTTGTAAACTTGTCCCAAGGTATATAATAACCAGATAAAGTTTGGTGTCATATACAAGAAGCACAGACTTTTAGTTTCTAGGTAAAATGTGACAAAAAATTTCATATGCATGACATTTCAAAGATACTTTTTAAGTTTCTTGAACAGTATGTCAAACATTAAAGGCACTGAAAAACTTTCCAGTGTATAACATGTTTTTACTAATGATACTTGATGAATTTCTTATAAAATATATCTAATTTCTTTTGATTTTGATTTTCTTTTCAAATGTCAGCTTCATTTCAAAACATGTATAGTATTAAAGAAGATGATTGTAGAAAAGGAAGTGACAAATGAGAGGCTGCGAATGGGATATACTTTCTAATTGCGCCTGATAATAATTCATGCATGTAAAAAGTTAAATCACAAAAATAAATGGTTTCTACAATCAGATAAGGAATTATACTAAAATCATCCATCTCTCCCTTTCTTCTGCTAAACTGAAAACATTAAAATACAAATTCAAAATTTGAGATGTATTTATAACTAAATTTTTCCCCATTCTGAAGACAATAGGCCTACCTTGATTGGTGATGTGTCAGGTGTATTTGATTTTGATGAAGCAGGTGATTTATTTGGACTTTTCTGTGATGGGGACATACTTTTAGGTCCCGCCACTGATGGAGGAAGTCTACTACTTCCCCATGATGTCCCCGTTGACGGCTTTCTTCCTTCGTCACTAGTATCATTTACCGGTAATTCTTCCTCATCTGAAAAATTTTTTTTTTTGTAAAAGCTTTTATTCTAAAACAATTAAAAGTTTATATCTAGGGTCTAGTATTCGATGTTTTTAATCCTTTATTACATACACCTTCAAAACATTTCATTTTTTTAAACATGCTATCCATATTAAAATGAAATAAAATGAACAACAAGCATGTAAACCCTTTTAATACTGTGTGTATTACATAATGTGCATATCCAGTGGATTCATAAGTTTTCAAGGAGAATCGTTTTATGTCCTTTTGTAGGTAAAGCTGATACATGACTTATATGTTCTAAAAAGTACTAACTTTCTTTAGGTTTGTATGGAGAATTTGTTGAAACAACAAAATCAAGTGTCCACAAGTATATTATATTTGCACGAATTTGGATTTTGACAGTTTTATCTTTGCAAAAAAAAAAAACTGGTATTATGTTTGCGCAAATTTATCAGTAATTTACCTGATTTTAATCTGTGCTTAATCCTGAACTTTGCAAAAGGTTTGTTAAAATTAATCACTGAAAGTATACCCATCAAATATCAAGTTTTTGCCTTTGTTTATCTCTGGGATGGCAACCCTCATGTTCAATGTCGAATTTCAAATTGTTATTGCAGTTTACATTTCTTTAAATTTAAGACTATTTATATTTCAGAATGTGTATTTTAAAGTTTTACAATTTTTCAATAATTTTTTAAATAGAAATTTTAATTAATAGTAATTTTTCAATGGTTAAATAACATGCAAACATAACGTGCTAGCACAAATAAATAGCAACATGAAAATCAATACCTATAAAAATAAATTAATACGAAGTATATGATAAAACAACTGTTTTCCCTTTTACACAAACAACTCAACTAATCTTACTCCCATCTACTTATTCCTGACTATTCATAAAAAAAATATATTCATATTGATTACCTTATGATAAAATTGAAACAACAATATGTCTCCATCAAATGACCATGGAATTTTGGTCAAAACTGTTATCTGGCATATAGTTGTTTTTTAAATTCACCTCATAGTGAGACATGTGTACTAAGTTACAAGTTGATGTAACCACAACTTTATGGTAACTACCTTTACTAAAAACTTTAACCTAAGAATGTAAGTTATTTCCATGTTAATTAAACCATGAAGTTGGAATCAATACCCTAATTTGGCATATAGTTTTAAAAGTTCACATCAAAATGAACATGTGCACTTAGTTTCAAATTAATGATACCACAACTTGATGGTAAACTACCTTAACAAAACTTTAATCTGACAACCAGACTACTATTGATTGTATTCCTTTTATTGTATAACTTTACCGCTACCACACGTCAAGCACTTCAGGGGGTGTTGTTTCACTTCACCCATTACTTGTATTCCTTTTGGTATAAATGAAACCAGCGATATGTTGGGCTAAATAGAACTTTTATTTCGTGGATATTTGTAAAAATGTTGAATAAAATGCTCCGCTGGGCGCAGCTTGATACGACTGCAGAGGTCTAACCCTGAACAGTTGGGGCAAGTATGGACACAACATTCAAGCTTGATACAGCTCTGAATTTGGATTGTGATTAAATATTTGACACAGAATAGGTTTCTGACACAGAATGAATGTGGTCTAAGAACTTAAAAAATCTTATTTACCTAATGGTCCAATATCCAAAATCTAAATACATGGTTAGATTCAGCATATCAAAGAATCCAAAGAATTCAATTTTTGATGAAATCAAACAAAGTTTAATTTTGGATCCTTTTGACATCTCAATGTGGACCAATTTGATAACGGGGCCCAAAAATCAAAATACATGGTTAGATTCAGCATATCAAAGAACCCCATATATTCAATTTTTGTTGAAATCAAACAAATTTTAATTTTGGACCCCAACTTGGACCAACTTGAAAACTGGGCCCATAATCAAAAATCTAAACACATGTTTAGATTCAGCATATCAAAAAACCCAAATAATTCAATTTTTGTTAAAATCAAACTAAGTTTAATTTTGGACCCTTTGGACCTTAATGTAGACTAATTTAAAAAATGGGACCCAAAATTAAAAATCTAAATACACGGTTAGATTTGGCATATCAAAGAACCCCAATAATTCAATATATGATGAAATCAAACAAAGTTTAATTTTGGACCCTTTTGACCTCAATATGAACCAATTTGATAGCGGGATCCACAAATAAAAAATCTAAATACATGGTTAGATTCAGCATATCAAAGAACCCCATATATTCAATTTTTGTTGAAATCAAACAAAGTTTAATTTTGGACCCCAAATTGGACCAACTTGAAAACTGGGCCCATAATCAAAAATCTAAACACATGTTTAGATTCAGCATATCAAAGAACCCCAAGAATTCAATTTTTGTTAAAATCAAACTAAGTTTAATTTAGGACCCTTTGGACCTTAATGTAGACCAATTTAAATAAAATGCTCTGCTGGGCGCAGCTTGATACGAGCGCAGAGGTCGAACCCTGAACAGTTGGGGCAAGTATGGACACAACGTTCAAGCTTGATACAGCACTGAATTTGGATTGTAATTAAATATTTGACACAGCATAGGTTTCTGACACAGAATAAATGTGGTCTAAGAACTTAAAAAATTTTAAATTACCTATTCAAACCATATCATTATTATTTGCTTTTATATATAAATCAGAAATAACCAATTTAAAATGGAAAATTTTAAAGAAAAAAAAGGAAAACCCCCCCCAAAAAAAAAATTTTTTGAACCCCCTTTTGATTCATCACCCCCAAACTCAATCCCAGCCTTCCCTTTGTGGTATGGTAACTTGCAGTACAATTTCACAGAGATCCATACACTTGAACACAAGTTATTGTCTGGAAACTAGAAAAATGCTTGTTTTTTGGCCCCTTTTTGGCCCCAAATTCCTAAACGTTTAGGGCAATTACCCCCAAACTCAAACCCAGCTTTCCCTTTGTGATGTGGAACCTTGTAGTACAATTTCATAAAGATCCATACACTTACACACAAGTTATTGTCCTGAAACTAGAAAAATGCTTGTTTTTTGCCCCTATTTGGCCCCTAATTCCTAAAATTTTGAGGCAATTACCCCCAAAATCAATCCCAGCCTTCCCTATGTGGTATGGTACCTTGCAGTACAATTTCAGAGAGATCCATACATTTGAACACAAGTTATTGTTTGGAAACTAGAAAAATGCTTATTTTTGGCCCCTTTTTCCTAAACGTTTTGGGCAATTACCCCCAAACTCAATTCCAGCTTTCCCTTTGTGATATGGAACCTTGTAGTACAATTTCATAAAGATCCATACACTTACACACAAGTTATTGTCATGAAACTAGAAAAATGCTTGTTTTTTGCCCCTTTTTTGGCCCCTAATTCCTAAAATTTGGAGGCAATTACCCCCAAAATCAATCCCAGCATTTCCTTTGTGATATGGGACCTTGTGGTACAATGTCAGAGAGATTCATAAACTAACACACAAGTTATGTCTGAAAGTAATAAAAATGCTTATTTTTGGCCCCTTTTAGGCCCCTTATTCCTTAACTGTTGGTACCATAACCCCTAAAATCAATCCCAACCTTCCTTTTGTGGTATTGAACCTTATGGTAAAATTTCATAGAGATCCATTCACTTAAACTAAAGTTAGAGTGCGAAAACCAATGTGTCTTCGGACAATGACGTCGACGCCAACGTCATACCAATATACGACCACAAAAATTTTTTGGTGGTCGTATAAAAACGGGACCCAAAATTAAAAATCTAAATACACAGTTAGATTTGGCATATCAAAGAACCCCAATAATTCAATTTATGATGAAATCAAACAAAGTTTGATTTTGGACCCTTTTGACCTCAATATGAACCAATTTGATAGCGGGGCCCACAAATAAAAAATCTAAATACATGGTTAGATTCAGTATATCAAAGAACCCCATATATTCAATTTTTGTTGAAATCAAACAAAGTTTAATTTTGGACCCCAATTTGGACCAACTTGAAAACTGGGCCCAAAATCAAAAATCTAAATACATGTTTAGATTCAGCATATCAAAGAACCCCATATATATTCAATTTTTGTTAAAATCAAACTAAGTTTAATTTTGGACCCTTTGGACCTTAATGTCGACCAATTTGAAAACTGGACCCAAAATTAAAAATCTAAATACATGGTTAGATTCGGCATAATAAATGAAATAAATGTGGTCAAAGATTTTACAAATCCAATGCGCCATACTGGTCCAAGGACACAGTTATCGTCCTTTGGTTTTCGTTGTCTACGAATATAGTCCCTAGTGTGAACAGTGTATAACTTGCATTTTTTTTTTATACACTTTCCCAATTTATTTCTTGATATTTTATGCATGAAATATTAAGTAAGGGGATGAAACTACATGTTAAAAAAATTTGGGTGCTGAATCTTTATAATAAGTAGTGATTTGGTCCAGTTAAAAAAGGTCAAAAATTAGAATGTCTGAAGCTGTCAAACTGAATTGTAGCCCCCCTTAACACAGAATTGTCAATATTTTGAGTTAGAGCTGGTAGAAGTTTCTATAATTTTGATATTATTTGTATCAATAGTAGTACACTACACTGTAAAAATCTTTTTGAGATAGAGCAGGTGCGATTTTTTTAATTTGAATTTATTCTCTAAAAGAAATGCACTACGAAATAACTGTGTTCTCGGGCCTAAGAGATGAATTCCGTAAATGTAGAATCTGTACTTTGGCAACTTTCCTGAATGGTTGCTGGTTTCAATTTGTCAAACTCAATAAAAGTAAAGGATTTACATCTTTGTTTGACAGAAATTCTGTTAAAATGTCCCTTTTTGGCATTATACGGCTAAATAAGCATTTTAAAGCAGTTTCCATTTTATGCCTAAGAGCCATGCTGACTTTCTATCTGACAGCATTTTATGTTCCTGATATTTGTGTTTCTATGCTAAAATCAAATTTAATTAACCATTTGTGAACTCTGAATCTAGAGAAAAGTAGATTATCACAGAAAAAATGTGCAGAAT